TGGAGCAGAGATCTGGCCTTCTGCCGGGTCTCCCGTGTAGATGGCAGTGGTCCAGGCACTTGGGTTATTCTCTACGGTCATTTCCAGGCCAGTAGTAGGGAGCTGGATAGGAAGTGGAGCACAAACCAGCACGGGATGCCTGTCACAGGTGGCAGCTTTCCCACTATGCCAAAGCACTGTTCCTGTAATTTTCTAGTCTTGTAAGTACTGTTTTTTGTCCAACTACAGATGAGCCCTTTAACATATCAGGGCTTGATCTCAGAGTGGCTAATAACCTACTACTGTTAAGTCTCAAAACAGAACATAAGTATGTCCTGATAACGGAAAGATCAGAAAACAAGTGACTAAATATATTTTGCTAGGAGAGTGCTGTAATGTTAAGATTAAAAAAAATCATCTGACACCAAAATTACAATACAAAAGTAAAAATCTGAGCATGTAACTGTGACACAGACTGGGACCTCCTTTACATTCTAAGCAACGATGCCATGTCAAAGCAGGTGATTTGTTTTAGGATAAACTGCCATAACCACCCGCCCTGGCCTGGGGGGTCCACAGCATCATTCTCATCAGGCAGAAAATGTAACCATTCACACAAAAAATAACCACCACCAAGCTTTCTAGAAATTATTAAATTATGCCACATTAATCAATCAATTAGTAAAAGAGTTTACTTGAGGTATAAGACAGTATGGAATATTTTCCAAACTGTTTAATCTTTAAAAAGTTCAGTGGACCCGTGTGGGGCCGAAGAGGTGCGTTTCCTAACGGACTGAGCACTGGATTTGGAGTCAGATCATCTGCATTCAAAATTAAGTTCTCCAAAGCTCTGGGGGACTTTGTTCAGCTTAATTAACTTCTGTGAGCCAAAGTTTCTCAATAACTAAAATGATGATGATTAGATATACTTTTTGCAGAGAGCTGTTATGGAAACTAAATGAATAGGAGGCAGCTGAACCTTCTAGATACTTTAAACAGTTCAGTAGATATAACAATAAAGTTAAATTAAAATTAATAAATTATACTGACCAGGAAGTATTTAGGAGCCCATTCTCATCTTAATAATGGGTGTGTATGTATGTGACTTATTTAATCAGCATGAATAGTAGTGAGATCAGTATGCACGCACATACTATTCAATGATTTTATTTGGTCTTAAGTATTTCCTGAAATAGTCAATTTTGATATAAACTACATTCAATAAAGAATAAAGCACCTTGGTTGAACTTAACTATTTGAGCCTCATCAACAACTAAACATGGAGAACTCTATATTTCTTGAACTGTGAAGAACTCTTAAGTTTACAAAATAGTAATAATAATAATGATTATAAAGGGGAAACTTTGCCTGCAGGACTAATGGCTTCCGTTGAAGGAGTTTTGGCAAGTCCTGTGGGGTCAGACCCAAGTCTGAAGTGGGGCTTCCAGAAATGCTTATTTCTGAGACCCCCTGGCCTGGGAAGGGGTACAGCCATAGGCCCCCACCAATCCTTCCCACAGCTTCATGACTCACTGTCAGGGGAAAACACAACACGCAGGTGCTGTGCTGACTGTCTAACTACTGAATTCTTTTACTGAAGAGCATGAAAAACTCACCACACCTGACCACAGCGTGTGTTCTGCCCAGAGCTGTTGACAGCTTCTAAATATGCAGGGGCTTAAGCTAGAGGAAATCAGTGCTGCTGTGGAGAGAAGCGAGGGAATGCTTGCTGAGATCTTCACTGTCTGCTTTTCTAGAAGCCTAAAAGTTTCTAGTTCAGAATCTTGTAGGCATCTGCTTTTCATCAAAGCAGCCCGATGATCTTTGTTGGATAAGGCCAGTGGTTAAACATCCCATGTACCTTCTTTGAGGAGTACTGGTGTGGCCAAAGCTAGTCTAAACTGAAAAATAAAAACAAAAAAAAAAAACCTCACCATTTGTCTAGAGATAGCACAATAATTCAAGAAGTTGCAGAAGTTGAACATTCAAATGAAGTAGCTGTGTTCAGAAAGGAGACGTGCCGCTGGAGGGAGCAGCAGTGTGTAGGTGGTCTGACCCTGAGGAGTCGGGACTTTCCTGTCTTGGCTTTATCTCTTGGGAGACGGCAGAAGTGTGAAATGTGACACGGCTCATTTAGGGATGATCCATTTTATTGAACCACATTTTGGGTTCAATGACCAGCAAGTAGGGAAGAAGCTCCAGGTCTAGTTATCTTTTGACCTGCTCAAGAGGCTTCCATTTCACATGACCATGACTTGGTCCCAATTCTCATAGGACTGGATTCATATACATGCCTACAGAAGGATATACTGTACCTTGATGCTGTTAATAAGGTTGAATTCAACTTAAAAAAAAACCCACAGTAAGAGAATTTCTACATTTCTTCAAACACAAACACCAGTGATCACCCAGGGCAGACTAATGCAGCATGAAAACCGGGAAAGGTAGGCAAGGCCATGTCACCAGGGTGACCTGCTCTCACAGCTTATATAAGTACTTCCATAATATTCCTGTATTACAAACACACTAAACAATGGGAAAACTGTCTCAGTAAGCTCCGGAGGCTTCTCTATTCTCCCTTCACATATTTTTGCTTATATCTGAGGTACCAGGGCTTGCTAGCAACCGGAGGTAGGAAACAAGGCATAAATGCATATACTTGGTCAGTACCAGGTTTGGTTTCCCCATGTTTAAGGATGTAAGGGGGCAGAAAGAATATCCCTAATGGGATCAATGAATGATATGATGTAGATTAGCTGAATATTATTACCCAAAGTGATGACCAAAATGGTGAACACTGGTTGCGTGTTTACGGTGTACTCTGTATTGTGCTAAACTCTTTACATTTGACTGGCTCAAGCCCCACAAGTAGGCACCCCATCATCTCTGTCAGAGAGAGGGCTGCAAGATTCTGGGGGCAGGACCAAGAGAGTGGGTTCACTGTGAAGCACAGCAGGAGGTGCTGAAGGTAAGAGCCCAACCCTCAAATGCCAAATTCTCCCCCATCACCCCTGGCACCACCAGTTCAGACACAGAACCTCGAGGCTCTGTTCATGTGTGAACTCATGTATTCTTGCTATGCATTCTCACTTTCCAAAGGTTAAATGGAGAAAATGCTCTTAACCTCTCCCTGTCCTTTTTGTGGCATTCTTTCTTCTGCTCTATCAAAAGCAGAAAATCATGGAGTCCAAGGAGGGTGTTGGGTAGAGCTGACCGGTGAGATGAACACTGCCCTAGCTCAGCACTGGGTAGAACCAACTTCTCCGGCCCCCTTACTGTCCTCAGGGTGCACCCCCAGCCAGGCACACAAGTAGAAGCACTTTAGCAGGTTTATCACGCTTTGCCCTGTGCCAGTCGTGTGTGTATACACGCATGGCTGTGTATACACACATCAACAATACATCCTGGAGGAAGCACCCACTGCAAGAGGTGGCAGGTGGTAGCGCTAGAGGAATGCGTCTTCCTTTTCTCTCCGATGGCCTGGGGAGGCGGGGAAAGCTGCGGGCACATGTTCTCTGACGGCATCTCACATCACTGAACATGCACCATCCTGGCTTCTCATTAAGATCACACACTTCAGAACTTGGGGTTTACAAAGCCTCACATGGGGGACACATGGCTATTCAGTCCATGAAAAGCTCTTGCTGAACAAATGACAGCCTCTGGGTCAGTTCTTGTAACTTTAGGCAATGTTGAAACCTGTGATCCCAGTGGCAATTTCTTGGCTCTTCTTAAAATTAAAGTGGAGATTTGTCTTCATTAGTCTGCAGCCTCTGTCCAAGAGCCCACATAGGTTATATTTCAGTTTAAGAGCAGATTGACAAGAAAACGACCACCACCTCTCCGCACACAAGACAGCCTTTGGGTGTTCAGCACACGCAAGGCAACTGGACCTAATGCTTTGTATTTCTTCCTAACCCAAACTCTAAAACCACTACAACAGGAAGCCACACACAACAGCTTGTGATGTAAGCCATAACACTGATCACACAATATTACCAGTTATTCATACACAGAGACATACCAAAAATTAATGTCTATTCGGGGAAGACCAACTAGTACGCAAAATCACAAACATGAAGGAACCGACAAAGGAACATTATAGCATAAGGCAGCATTGGTTGAATTTTTCCCCCTCTGGTTAAAGAAAGTACTACATATCTCAATGACCAGTGGATGACTAACAAAAATAACGAAAATAAATAGCAAAATAATGTTTTGATAAAGAAATAAGGCTGAGTTTAAGACTCCTCCAAGATTAATCTGTTTGGGGATTTTAATTTGAGATTAGAAAGCATTCATTCGTACAGAATGGTATAAAGTTGTAGCAGTCTCCTCAAAAACAAAATAAAGATCCCCAGAAACTACTATCACAGTTCATCAGCACTCTTTGGGCTCCGTTTTTACTTTTTTGTTGCATTCAGAGGAGTTACTGGAAAGTTCTGTTGGTGTTTAACCCACCCGCAGTTAGGTTGGACTTCACCTGAGTGAGAGGCGTTCAGACTGCAAAGATAACCTGGTGTGAACACTGCCAGCACGCCCCTTCTTCCCGCTCACCTGGCAGGTCGCCTAAAGCAGGTGCCAAGCTCTGGTGCCAACCTAAAATGACATGGATCATGACTGAAAAAGTCATACCCGGACAAAACCATTTTAACTACCTTTAATCAGGACTTTTTTTTTTTTTTTTGGCTTGTTTGTTTGGGTCTTCTTAGTTATGTCTGAAAATGGCCATTTTAATTGTTCTATGGATCCAGTGCTGTATGCTGACAGAGCCACTTGTGGGATGCAAAGAATGAATAGAAAATTCTGATAACAAAAAGAGATATTCAAAGGAACGGAGCTCTTGCGTGGTACTGAGGGAAAACAAAACAAAAACAAAACATAGGCACTTCCGCTTCAGGAGGTTTTTCACATTTTTGATCACAGGCGGCTTTTCCAAGCCCTGTTCCACTACAGACAACGCGCTCCCGGCCCCAATCATCCGGGTTCCTGGCAACCTTGCCCAAACAAATACGCTTTTGAGGCCTTCGTCTTGTTCCAGAACAATCGTCCTGACCCAGCCGCCTGCTCAGGCTGCTGCACGGAGCTCCAGGCTTCTTCCAGACGCGCCACCAATCAAAGGTGAAGAAGGAACGGGTGATGCCATTTCTCCTGGAAACAGAAGTGAGCAGTGCCCACTGCCGTTGGCTTCCTGGTCGGGTCGTCAGCCAAGCATACAGTCTTCAGCACATTCTAAAGCTACGAGGCTACTGGGATTTTGAAGTATGTGTGTGTTTGTCCGTCTTAACGACTACTTAAACAGTATCTCCTCTTACTTTTCTTTCTTTTTTTTTTTTTTTTGAGAAAACCTGTGCTAAAAAGGCACTCTGAGAAAAGTAACATAAAGTTGACCCACATTTAGATAAAAACTTCAGAATTACTCCAGACCCTACTCGGAGGCCCATGAGCACTCCACCGCCCTGCACAAGGGTGACGCGGCCCCGGGGAAGGTGGCAGGGCCCAGGGCTGGCCCCAGGGAGGCCTCACTGGCAGCAGCTGTGGGAACCCAGTCTCCTGGAGACCTGAGTGAAGGAGACGAAGGTAAAATTCTCACAGTTTTCCAGCTTGACCTTCTTGGCCAGGTTTGGGACAATTCCCCGAAGAGACCTCAGTCCCATCCTCTGCTCCTCGTACCACACGCTGCCCATGTCGCTGGCCTCCTTCCGGGCGGTCAGGTAGAAAGGGGACTTGGCCTCCATCTGGGTGGGCGGCCGGTGGATGTACATGTACTTGTAGAGGAGGCAGTACGGGCACTGTTTGTGTCCCCTGGAGTGCTCGTGGTAGATTTTCCCGTGGCACACCCTCGTGGAGCTGCTCCGGCTCTCGCGCTTCACACTGTCCGTGCGGGCAAAGTAGGGCTGGTTCTGGGGGTCTTTGAGCAGCTCGATGTCGCCATACATCAGATCCGCGTGCTCCTGCAGCGTCCGCATGTTCAGGTATTGGCTGTTGTACTTGACCACAGTGGACAGCAGAGTGATGGGGCTGTCATCCCCCAGACACCCGGCCTGCCACATCTCCTCCTCATCAGAAAGGGAGAAGTAGACGATATTGCGAGAACGGGCACCGGACATGCCTGCCTTGCTCAGCACCCACAGCTTCTCCTTGAGCTTCTTGGTGGAAGAACTGAAGGTGCTGCTGGTGATGGAGAAGCCCACGCCTGCGTTCTTGAGGATGCGGTCGAGGCCCCGGCGGATGGCATGCAGCGACGTGGCCAGGAAGTCCGAGCCGTCGCTCTTCTTGACGGTGACATAGAAGTTCTCCAGCAGCTCGTTCAGCTTCACTGCCGGGATCTCGAAGGAGACAAACATGAAGTTACACACTGGGTGACAGCCACACGCCAACCCTTCCTTCCTTCTAATCCTACTAGGGGCCAATAGTGTACAGGACATTTTGTGGCCCCTGGAGGGTTGACCCCCTTAGCATGATCTGGTGGAAAGATGAGCACCACTGAAACTGGAAGATCTAGGCTCCATACTTGGCTCCACCTAACAATCTCTTTCCTCTTCAATGTTTCAATCTGTAAAAGATGATCCAATAGTCAAAACACACACACACACACACACACACACACACACACCCCTATTCAAGAGTACTTCACAAAATCAGTGAAAAGGTTGCTAAAATATCAGTATGTCTTAGTGCAAAAAAATTCTGAAATCCAGGCATTTTTGCATGTAGTGCTTAAGACATTGCTTGGGATACCCACACAGGATTCCACGTATGAAGACCTGTGTTCAAGATCCAGCTCTGGGCCAGTGTGATGGCTCAACTGGCTCATCCTCTGCCTTGCAGTGCCAGCATCCCTTATGGGCACTGGTTCATGTCCCAGCTGTTCCACTTCCCATTTACCACCCTGCTGGTGGCCTGGGAAATCACAAGAGGATGGCCCAAGGCCTTGGGATACTGCACACATGTTGGAGACCCAGGAGCAGCTCCTGGCACCCAGCTTCATATCAGCTCAACTCTGGCCATTGTGGCTACTTGGGGAGTGAATCCATGGATGGAAGGCCTCTTTCTGTCTCTCTGTGTAAAAATCTGCTTTTCTAATAAAAATAAATCTTTTAAAAAAACTCTAACAAGTAAACCACATATAAAATCAGTATGGTGAATTATTAAAAACACAAATGAACTAAAAGATAAAAACTGATCTTTAAAAATGAAAACCATGCAATCTTTGAAAAAACTTATAAAACTAACAAACTTCCAGGAGATCTCATAGAAACAAGGAAGCATACATGTAAACAATATCAGGAGTAAGAAAATAATTACAGAAAAGAGACAAGAGCGAAGGTTAGATAAAGAGTATGATAAACTTTATGCATGGTAATTTGAAAATCTAGGTGAAAATTGTCTAGCAAAATATGATTTATCAAAGTTGGCTCAATAGAAAGTAAAGGACCTAAATCTCTCCAAGCAGAAGCAAAGAGTGATATGTTTGCCAAATGTGTATATTTCATGCCTAAAAATATAGCATTATGGAATCAATTCAACTTGTCTTTGGCACTTTAAGTTTTAGGACATAGAAAAAAAAAAGATTTTTGCTTTTTTAAAACAATCTGAATTTTACCAATACTATGCCAAGAAACAAAGTATACGAACGTGGATGTAAACTTTCCTAAATAAAATACAGGCAATTTCCGTTCTGCACATTCCTTGTTAAAGTGTGTATACATTGGTACAGTACACAGTGAGGACATGCACAAGTTCAAGTTAATAATGGAATTCTGCAAAGCAAACATTGCCTGTTTCATCAAATCAAATTTAGACTTTTAGTGCAGCAACATTTCATCACAATAAGCAGGGATTATAGCAGAGTGAGGATGAGCTCACCTTGGATGTTGTAATATAACTAATATTTATTTATCAAGGAGAAAACATAAACTTAACAGAAACTGAAAGCTTAAAAACGTGATATTCATTTCACGTTTAAAAAAATTTAAATTAATTATAGATTGGAAGCAAAAACATCTTATTGTGATGAAGAGTATTTATAATCAAGAACAATTTACCAGGATGAACATATTAGGTTTCTTTCTTAAGAGGTCAGGGAGCAGAGGAGCCTGCTGAACGTCATTATGATTACATAACACGGTTCTGGGTCTTCCAGCCACTAAGACAGGGAGAAGAAGTAAGTGTCCACACGTACGTATAGGAAAGGAAATGGAGTATAATTGGTTTCTGACAATCCGACTGAGAAACACCAACATGCTTAACTGAAAAGCTGTCAGACTAGGGTGCTGTCTACAAAATACAAAAAGGAACAGCTTCCTTACATGAGGATACTTCCAAAAGTTCATGGAAAATGAAACTAAACGATGAGGTTTGGGTGCAAAAAATAATTGAAATTCATAGTTTTTTCATAATATGCATGCATTTTACATTAACTTCTTGAAGAATTCTCATTTATGCACAAATTCTGAAAATTCTCCCACCAAGTAAACTTATCTTTAAATTCCATGTTCACAACGTTTTAAAATTACTTTCGTATATCAGCAAGAACCAGCCAAACAGCTTCCCACTGATCACTATATTCAATCTCAGCTGGCTTTGCATTTTTTATGTTGTCACCTTTAGCTCGCTACTTATAGGTATTAACTTCTGTTTATACTAATTAGGATACTTTTGATTGCAAGAGGAAGAACTAGTTTAAACAAGTGTTAAGCAAAAAGCATTATCAGAATTGGTGGACTCCGTGGCCATTAGACCTCTCTCAATCTCCTGTCTCTCTGTGCAGACTGATTTTACACAGCTGTAAATGCAGCCAGCTAGGACACCCCAGAACTTCAGGTATTAGCAGGAACTAATTCATCGTCATTAAGACAAAAAATCACCACGCAAGGCATGGTGGCCTAGTGGATGAAGTCCTCACCTTGCACATACCAAGATCCTGTATGGGCGTTGCTTCTAATCCTGGCAGCCCTGCTTCCCACCCAGCTCCCTGCCCATGGCCTGGGAAAGCAGTCCAGGACAGTTCAAAGTCTTGGGACCCTGCACCCGCATGGGAGACCTGGAGGGGGTTCCTGGCTTTGGATTGGCACAGCACCGGCTGTTGCGGTCACTTGGGGAGTGAATCAACAGAAGGAAGATCTTCCTCTCTGTCTCTCCTACTCTCTGTACATCTGACTTTGCGATAGAAAGAAAATAAATCTTTAAAAAAAAAATCGGAAAGGAAGGTTCTAATGGGCTCACTTCAACCCAAGCAACTCTAATACTAGTGTGGTGGCATCCGCAACAGCCTTATGCAGGTCCTAGGTGAGGAGTGGTTCCTGTATGAGGGATGTCGAGCAGAAAATCTTACATTTTACCTTAGTGTTCTGAATAAAAACCTCTAGGTAAAACAAAATCTCTAATAACTGCCTGTCATTCTTGATCTGAACTCCAAACTGTCAACTGTATGCAAGTTTTCACAAACACTCCTTGTTGATGTGTGCTACTCTGTCAATCAGAAGTAGAATCTATTTTTCTCTTCCCTTGAATCTAGGCTGGCCATGTGACTTGTTTGGCTGTAGAAATGACAAGATATGAACTGCAAACCTAGGTTTTACTTAGGTTCTTAGTGTTCTGAGCACATGATGTTGTCTTGTGTGGAGGACCGAGACCGTGGGAAAATGTGGACAAACTGTCTCCCATCTAACTTTCAGAGGACTGCACCCACACGGGGTCACACAGCCTTTCATCTGAGCTCAGCGCAAGATGCTAACCCATTAAACTATGAGCAAGGAACATGACATCTGCTTTAAGCCAATACGTTTTTGTGTCATGCAACAGTAGATAACCGATAAACACCTTATGTCCCCAGCCTGGTGTTCTGGTTTTTGTACTATTGTCAAGCCTCACTGACTTTCCCAGCAATCACAAGACCATTTTGTTCTTCTGCGTCCTCACACAGGTTTGTCCTGTGTCTGGAATGCTTTATCTTCTAAAACCTTCTCTATCTGGAAAATTTCAACTGTTCTTCCAGAGCTAGCTCACTTTTGGCTTTCTGTATGAAGATGATTCCAACGTTTCTAGGCAAAGATAATCTCTCATTTGGGATCCTTCAGCTTTAACTTAAAAAAAGACAGTTCTTTCTGTGTACAACAGCCTCTTATCTATTGTAATGCCTGTTTCTGAAAGGCTACTGAAGGCAGAAGACCGGGAGGTATCTTCTCACAAGGCCAGCCAAGAACTGCTGGATCCTGTACGTGGGGACAGAGTATACAGGACTGGATAGCTGAGAGATTGTTAGCACCTGGGAAGCAGGTATTATTATCTAAGTTGTGGAAGATCTGGAGAAATGAGGCCCTTTTCTTGAATTCCTGCATGAAAATGTTCAAGTCTCCAGTAACAGCCAACAGTGATTTCACAGAGTACGGAAGACAATACTTTTTGACCTAGAAAAGCTCGGAGGCTGGAGAGAGAAACCAGGATGGGAGGGCTGCGGTCAGAACAGGTGAAATCGAAGTTACTGATCCTAGGATAGCAGTGATTACTCTGAACAGTTATTGAGGAGCAGTCACCTTTTTAGTTGTTCACTTGCATTTTTAAAACAGTGGTAAAACATATATAAAATAAAATTTATCACATTAATAACAATGAATGTAAATTCAGTGCAATTAACTGCACTCACAATGTTACGATCATCACCACTACCCTTTCCAGAACTTTTTTCTAATTCTAAACAGAAAGTGTACACCCACTGAGTAACTTCACATTTCCCCTTCACTCTAGGCCCTGGTAACCTCTACATTTCTGTCTCAATGTGTTTTCCAATTCCAGGGACTTCACATAAACAGAATCATATATAGCTGGACTTTTCTGTCTAACTTATAAGTCCCTTTGTTTCACTCCCAAGGTTCATTCATACTGTGGCATTTCTCAGTGCTACATTGCTTTTTATAGGTAATGGGTTCAATCTGCTGGTATTTTGCTGAAGAATCTGTGTGTATATTCATGATATGTATTGGTCTGCAGTTCTCTTAGAGCATCTTTTGTTTTGATGTCAGAGTAAAACTGGCCTCATAGAATGAATTAGAAAGTGTTCCCTTATTTTTCTTAAAAATATTTTAAAAGATTTATTTATTTTTTTTAAAGATTTATTTTTATTATTTTTTCATTGGAAAGGTGGATATACAGAGAAGAGAGACAGAGAGGAAGATCTTCCGTCCGATGATTCACTCCCCAAGTGAGCCGCAACGGGCCGATACTATGCCGATCCGAAGCCAGGAGCCTCTTCTGGGTCTCCCACGCAGGTGCAGGGTCCCAAAGCCTTGGGCTGTCCTCGACTGCTTTCCCGGGCCACAGGCAGGGA